GTAATACCGTAATAGCCAGTAACATTGTCGCCAAATTACTAATAATAGCTAGTAAGATTGCCCCCACATTAGTAATAATACAGTGGTTCTCAAACTTTTTTAGTCGAGGCCCCCTTTAAACGTTGAAAAGAATGTAAAAGATATAAAATAATAATTATTTAATAATTAATTAATAACTATTTTAATGTAAAATAAATGTAACTACTTAAATAACTCATTATTTATAGCTTATTTAAGTGGCAATTCGGTTGCATGGTGTTAAGATATGATCCTTATGCGCTCTTACCTGGTTAGGAACACTACCCAATTGCAGAGCACGTTACTTACGTTTGTTATCTCGTATGTACATGTGTGAGATGTACCGTTGAGAGATGATTTGAGTTTGAGTTTATTAAAGAAGAGTTTCAGTCATTGAGAGCGTTTTGTTTTCCTCACGCGAGCAAGAGAGAGAGAGCTCACGGCAGCAGTTCCGCTCGTGAGTATGGATGCGGAAGCACCGCTGCGGCTACCGTAGGATTGTGGTTCCGCATTGTGGGAAATGTAGTTTTTTTCTCGTTTTCGTTACGACCGCGCTATGGCAGAGATGGGCGATGACGTCAGCGCGCAGCGCTGGGTGTACAAATATGGCCGCTGCTTCGGCCTAGCTCCGGAGCTCTTACGCCTCTCATACGGCCGTGACCGGACTTCGCGGCGCTCTGCATTCGGTCTATAAGACGCACCAACTTTTCCCCCTCAGTTTTGGGGAAGAAAAAGTGCGTCTTATGAGCCGAAAAATACGGTACATTTCTGTCGTGTTTTTATGTTTATACATTTGCGGAAAAGCAGCATAGAAAATAATTTTTTTAACAAAATGGCATTCATCTACAGATTCGTTTTAAATGGCTATTAACATATTAAAATATTTACAATATTTTACATTATTAGCATATTTATAATTCAAGGATAATTTGCCAGAATAGGTCGCCAAATGCTGTGTATGCAGTCAACGATGAGGTAATTCTTGACAGGTTATTTCTTCTTGCAATATATTTTGGTGCAACAATAGCTGCGTTAGCCTAATTGTTATTCTCTTTTAATATACAGTGGTTCCGCGAGATACGAAACTAATCCGTTCCAGGGTGACGTTCGTATGTCGAACATTTCGTATCTCGAAGCAAGTTTTACATGTAAAACGTCTAATCCGTGCTACGGCTCTCAGAAACAACAGTAAAAGTAGATGAAAAAATGGAAAACCAGAGAAAAATCAAGTAACGTTTCTTCAATCCTTAAATCTACACATTGTTAATGTAATAAATGATAATAAAACAGAATAAAACACAAGCAAAATATGTAATATGTACACAAATGTGAAACCTTACCTTGAGTGAGGCGATGTGTCGCAGGAGGTGGAACGGATGGCCGAAAACCTTACGGCACTACGTCAGAAAGTTATTCCACGTATAAAAAAGAGATATTTCATGAATTACTAACATAAACACGGTTTCAAGCACAATCATAGACAGATAGAGAGACGCTTCTGAGAACACGTCACTGGGTTTCTCTAAGTTGCGCTACAGAACAGCACTTTCCACCTTATAAACGTTATTTATTTTACGACACCTTGACTTTAACATTTGTTATAGCACATTATTAATAATCTGTACATAATGTTTCGCTGTGTTGTTGAAGTGTTTTGAAGCGTATCAGCCCCTTTTTGCACTGGGAGAGAGGAGCACAAGAACCCGGAAGTGCTATGCGACATCAGACAAACAAGCGGAAAATACAGCAGAACAGTTTGTAGTTGTTCGTATCTCAAATTTTTCTTCGTATCTCGAAGCAAAAAATTTCCCACGAGACGTTTCGTATCTCAAACATTTTGTAACTCGAAGCATTCGTATCTCGGGGTACCACTGTATACTGTCAAATAAAAAAAAAAATGTTTGTTGCATGAAATCGTCTCTGTAAAAAAAAAAAAATCCAAATTGATATTCCCTCAGGGGTTAATCTTTGCTAACAAAGATTAGCATCTGTATTTAGTTTTGGCCTCTTTTGTAGTTATAAATTCTCTGTTCGGGGCAGCCAAGCATTCAGAGCAGCCACATATGCAAATCTCATTGAAATGTAAGTGTGGTTAGAACTGAAAAACATGTCGACTAAGCATCTGTGTTTATCAACACGTGTGTTTCAACTTTCATGAATGTAATCAAGCCAGAAATCTCCAGAGGATTTCTGTCTTTGATTTTTGACTCAAGTATTGATCTGGGAAGCTGTTATTGATATTTAAATGCTTGGAGATCTTTCGGGGATGTCTTCTTCATGTTCTTCAGTTTGATAACCGAGCTGCTTGAAGAAAGGGCATCTTGGTGCCAGGGAGGCCTTTGATTCCATGAGTGTTACAAGATCAATACAGCTTGTGTTCATCAGAGGTTCTAAGAACATAATGAGCTACACTTAGGGCTAATGATTAGATCCTCACTTTAAAGCATGCCGCTCTGGGTTGTTTGCATATATTTTCTGGCAGAATCCTCTGGTTCGATTCCCGCTGCATCAGCAGAAGGTTCTTCCAGGACCTCTCCAATGCCATGACCAGAATATATCAGCCTTCATCAGTGAAAGAAGTCATTGATGCACAACCAAAGATGACGAAACATCTACGCAGGGCGTTTAAAAGAGACAGTATCTTCAATTTTCACATGTCACAAAGACAATACACAGACAATGTACGTGTAACATTATCCTAACTGTGGTTTGTTCTGGAAAAAGGCTAGATCATCGTGCATGCTGTGACCAATCACATTGTGCATGCTCTTGCGAAGCTTTTCATTGGACAAATTGTGAGTTAATACATTTCATTAGTGATGCTCTTTCAGTTACAGTGTAGTTCTGGAGCTGTCATGTTGCATTGGATTATGGTAACGAAAATTATTATTATTATTATTAATTGTTCAACATGTCAACATTTTACCAAATACTCAGATTTAATGCCACAAATGATATGAATATAAAATGTTGGGGGGAAAGTCAATAGCTAAGTTTTATTACCCCAAATTTATTCAGATTTTGGAAAATTTTATTTAAAAACCCTGTAAAGAAATGACAAGATGTGTATAAACTTAAAAATGTGCATAAAAAATGATGTGCACTGAGTAGAATACATTTTTATCCTATTAGAAAAAATGTGCATAAACATACGGAGCTGGATTAAACAACGAAGCGATTTTATTGCACAACATCTGAAATGTTGTTTTGGTCCTTCTAAAATTAATTAGCCAAAGTCTGTCATCAAAGTGGTTTGTGATCATCACCTACCAGAACGGTTTCGAAAGCTGTGTTCCCGCCTCCAAAAGCAAGAAGACATGACCGCGCATATTGCATTCCATCAACGTGATCTAAGATGCAAGTAAAAAATTTAGTTCTTTTTGACTTTATTCTTGATTATTTTATGTAATATTCCAGATTTGCGCACCATTTAATTAAAATGGAAACATGGCTAGTGATGTTTTTTCAAAAAGTGAATCAGGTGCTATATTGGTGCAAAAATTAAAATATGTCAAGCCTCTATTTTTGTTTAAATGTTAATAAATATTGATTAAAGATTAAACCTATTTATTGAAATATTGATATCAAAGTAGCTCAAAATAGTTATTTACAATTTACTGTAAAAAGAATTATTATCATAAAATTCTCAAATTTTCCTGCTTTTTCTAGGAAATAATTTGCTACCCTACTGTCACTAAGAGCCAATGGAGCAAAAACTATGACTTTATTTTTTGGTGTTGTGAAAAAATGTACTGTTTTGGCATTGAAGGAATATATTTTATTTCAGTTTATTATTATTAATATTTTTAATTATTTTGATACATGTTCATGATGCTGCATGTATTCTAATCTTAACAAGTATAAAAGATATTTGTCACAAGATAACATTTATCAGCAGTGGCAAAAAATGCTTGCACATGTGTAATACAGCTGGCCAATTCATTGTAAAAGAGAAAAAAATGAATTTGAATTAAAAAATGTTATAATAATGTAAATATTTAATATTATACTGAAAATTGATTTTCTGATTTTACTTTGGTATGGTACAGTGAGTCTGAACAGAAAGAGATGAAATTTTTATGTTCTAATGCTGCAGTTCCCAAGGCAATGCGAAAGTGAAAGTGGGAAAAAAAAATGTATTAAGAGCATTATATTGAATATTTGACGTGGGTTTCTGTGCTCAAATCATCTCACTCTGACAAACAGCACTAGCGATCATGTCAGCTGTGCCTCGCTTGATTTATTTTGATGTGCGCTTACAAGACAGATTACGGTGATGAACTGGCAGCAGTGAAGGACACCAGGTAAACCAGGTTTATCTTATGTTGTACCTTTTTAACCCAATCACCTTTAATTGTTTTATTTATTATTCTCAGGTTAGGTTCAATACGCCAAATGTTCTGTAATTTTTCAGTATTTAAATCACTTTAAAGAAGACCAAAGTCTTAAAGTCTTATATAAACATATTAAATAGACAGTGTTTGTAATCAATTACATTTTTTAATTGGTTACATTTTTTAATATAAGATAACATTTTAAATAGAACATATTACTAGGCCAAATCTAGTTTTCAGAATGTTTAGAGAGTAATCAACTTTTACTGATCCATTGGTGCCACTAAAATTACAAACAATTTCATGTTCTCTTTCTGAAATGATCAACAAAATCATTATTTTGAATTGTGAATCATATTTGATTCTCTCCGCACCTTGTGTTCGAGTGTACAGGATAACTGGAGCATTATGTGTCTGGGGGACGGAGTTTGTCATTGTCGTCACTCTGTATCACTGCTGTAGTTTTACAACAGCCAGAGTAATGGCGGCCAAAGCTGTGTTGCTGTTTAGGCTTACAGCATTGTAGTGAAAGTGACATTAGGACTCAGTATGGAGTGACCCATATGAGTGACCCATCCAATGCACACACACACAGCAGTGAACACACCCCTGGGAGCAGTGGGGAACTGGTGACTTGGGGAACAAGCTCCCAATGGAGCTGGAGATCGAACTAGCTACCTTTTGATCTCCAGTCAATCACTGTATCCACTAGGTCACGACTGCCTTACATGTATATGTTTCCCATTTGATCACTGAGGCGCTTGTGTTTGTGCTCATGCAGTGTTAAATAATCATTTTAAAAAGCAATGAATCAACTGACTCCTGTTGGTTTGGTAGAGTCATTACAGCGTTTCAGGTGTGTTTGAGTGTCTGATAGGATGCATTTATTTTTAAACTGCACATGTGGACGCTTTTTTTTGTACACAGTGTGAGAAAAAAAGGGTACGTGTGGACATGGCTTTAAACAGTTCCTAAAATACTTGCATTTTAGATGGCTATATTATTTTTATGATGGCTATACTGATGATTTCTGTGGTGAGACAGGTTGTTAATTCTGAACAGGAAGTCACTCACTTAAAAGTTAAGAGATGTTACGACGAGAAACTCTGGAAAGTATGTGAGTGTCACAGCAGGGACCAGTCAGCCCGGCAACTATGCAACTTCCTTAATGGAGGCACTGTGTCGATGCTGGCTAATGTCCTCTTCTGTGAAGATCAAAGTGTTTCTTAAGCACTAATCTTTAAGCAATATAAAAAAAACAAAAACAATTAGGAGACCATACAATAGGTTTTCCCCTTAACCTCTTAAGCCCGAGAGTCCCCGGTACCGGGGACTTGCCCCCTTGTGCGTTACATTTTCACTCATAGCTCACGAACCCTGAGAATAACCCACACATATTAAATACTGTTGTGTTCAGCGGAAACTCCTCTAAAAACGTATCTAATTCAATTTCATATCCGTTAACCACAGCTCGAACGCCATGCAAATAAACAACAACATGTCCGGAGTATAATTCATGACCACGTTTTTGTTTATGTGCGATATGTATCCACAATATAAACGGAAACACCCAAACCATTACATTAAATGAAAGCTAACAACCTGCTGAATCCAGTGATATGCAACTCATTAACATTGCATGAAGTATTTCAGAGCAGGGAGCGAAAGTTCCACGAAAAAACGCCAGCGAAAACCAAGCAAGCATGTAAATCTTGTCTTACCTTTGCCGTTTTTTCAACAAAAAGTTATTTCCATAGCGATAAAAGTCCGTTTTGTTGTTATGTCCGGTCAATAGCTTCGCGCAAACTCCATTTTGGATTATTTCTTTAGCTTTGTGGCGTCATTACGTCACCAAATATGGAATGACTCCCCGTGCGTAAGAGGTGGTCTCTCCACGCTGCGCGTCGTGTGATTCGTCGGCGATCCCGTCAGTCTCAAAATGGTTGAGCTGATTGGTTTCCATAGAATCAGAGCTTTCCATCGATATCTAGATCTCCTGGATTGGACAGATGGTCGGGGGGGTAGGGACACGCAGAAGCTCGACGTCAAAGCGTTTGTGAGTGAAACGTTCCCAAAAGCGCAGCAAGATGGCGTAAATGAGCTTCTACCCCCCTTTTACAGCGTTTCTTTAGGAGTTTTTTTTGCTGAAATCATGTCCCATAAGCAAGAAAAGAAGACTATTAACGTAGCTGAAGCTCTGGACAAGATTTTTTCCATATTTCAATTATTGTGCCAAATTGTGCCAAACTGTGCCAACATGGATTACGCCTGAACTTTGTTCAATCAAAACCTTTACAGAATATTAGTTTCTTGTAGTATGAACACCAAACTTGCTACAGATGTTCTTGACATGTAGTGGTTACAATTGATTGTGTTTATTTGCTTCGTTATAAGTAAAATAAGGAGATATTGGAGGAAACATGTGTTTTTTTTTTAGGCGGAGTTCATTTTTTGGCCATTCCAACATCAATTACTCTTACCCTGTGTTCTTGACTGTCAAATTAACTCATCCACACCACTCCCCAAGAACCTATCTTCATTTTGATACCAAGATTTGCAGTTTAGGCCTTGTAAAAGCTGAGAAATGCCTTAAAAAGTAAAAGTATAGGATTTTCGGAAAATAGGCCTCAGGGCTTAAGAGGTTAAACAGATGCCATGGCAACGTTTCCTCTTAGTGTGCATCTGACATCCTAGAGTCCGTAATAGCAGTTGTAGCTAGCTCTATCCAAAAGCAATCCAAACGGAGAAGTTTACGATCCAATAATTGGTACAGACTGACAAATATCCCGAGAGTGTCTCTATTAAAGAGAAGAAAATTTGACGATGAAAACCAGAGTTTTAACGACAAACTGACTGAAAGGTTTTAATACCCAGAACCAACACGAAAACACGAAGCCTGTGTGTGTTCTGCTCTGAGACTCAGGTGCTTGCAAAGAGCAGGAAAATTAAAAGCTCTCTGCAGCAATATCCTCGAAACTCAGAGGAGAAGATAACAAAAATCCAGAAGTTAAAATATTCATATAAACAGTAATCAAACAAAATGTTAATCAAAAGAGTCAAAAATATTTGCTTCCATTACTCAAGTAGAATTATTGATGTTTAAAAAAAAAAACTGTGGAAGTATCGATATGGCTTTTTGCTTGTAAAAGAATAAAACCAAGTAGTTTACAGTAAAGTAAATCAGTAAAGTATTACAGTAAAAGTAATGTGAGAAAAACATTCCAGAAAGATGCCCCAAAATTCTACTTAACTAAGGTAACAAAGCATTTATAGATTTTTGATAGATGTGAATGAGGTTAATAATTGTTTTTTATTGACAAAAATAAATTCTATTTATTTTGTGCTGGCTAAACCATGCCTTCAATTTATATAGCACTTTTCTAGACTCTCAAAGAAGCTTAATATTTTTTTACACACTGGTGGTGACTGAACGTGGCTGTTATTTCACGCCTACAGCCTCCTGTCGCCCCCAAACACACCAAATGTATCCCTAAATGTAAATGTTTTTTCATTTTTTTATAATTATTTTAAGCTTATCTGTGATTATTTGAAAACTGTTCAACTTATAAAATGCTAGGGCATTTGTGCAGTAATTGTTTGTTGTGCTGTATTTCTTTTTTCCTTTCTGTGCTGTGTCTACTGCAAGCCGAGGATAAGAAATAAAACGTGTGCATGTGCATTAGGTGCGCTTTACCAGTCGTAGTTGTATAAGTTGAAATGGAAAGAAACCGAATTGAAAGAACTGGAATGCATTATTAAACAAGATAAATCATGTTCATTTACACATTCTGATCACATGGTAACAATCTACACAAATTATTTAATGAGTTTTGTGAGCGTGGAGCAGTTTAATTTTCACAGATGGGTCCTGGTTCAAATGAGAGGCTTTGTTATTTTTGACAGCTAATATTAATGGCCACAACGAACAAATATATGCTGAAGAGAAAGCATGGAATCAATAACCATGGAATGTTCATTTAAACGCCTTCAAAAGGGGATGGCATTACTTTAGAACACAGCCATAAAGAAACAGCTTTTCTCCGCAAAGAGAGACCCATGAAATCAGCAAGTACAGGGCCATGTCTCAAGGACTTGGGGAAATCGATATATACCACAGCTCATTTAGTCACATGTGTTTGTCTGACATTGATTCTGAGGGAAGGAACTCTCTTTCTTTGACTTTCTTTGAGGGTTTAGCACAATGTGGGGGAACTTGGATGTGGTGATTCATCTAAAAATTGGCAGATAAATATGAGGAATATTAAGAGCCGCATGAAAGCAGCTAAAATGTGACTGAGGCTGAAAAGCTCCTGAGATAAGTGTAACCAGTTAGTGACCTGGCCGTGGGTGGACTGCTGCTGCACCAAGGTGTCGAGTGGTCAGACATAATTAGTTGCTAATGGCTTGCGGCACTAATGAAGACATAGACTCTCATGCATGGCAAAAGCAGCATTCATTCTTGCATTTATTTATGGCTCTTTTATGGATTCTATTTAGAACTACTGAAAACAACGGATTTAAACATGAGTAGTTTAGTAACATTGGGGATGAATGTGATGTGGCTGTACACTTCTGCTTGAAATGAAATGCTTCTCTTGAGTCAGAAATATCCGCTTGCCTCAGGATAGATAATGTAATAATAATCTCTAAAAGCATCGCTTGTCCTCTTTTTCTTTAATGGCCCTTTCTTTGTCTACAGCCTGGCAGCGTCCCAGCAAGCAGCGGCCCGGAAAGCAGCCACCCCAATGCCCCCCTCAGAATTCCTGGACAAGCTGATGGGCAAAGTGTCCGGCTATGATGCCAGAATCAGACCGAATTTTAAAGGTAAGTGCATCCACCAAGACACTGCCGGATAGCACAGGAATGCAGCCATGCTGGCTCTAATCTAATTCTTATTACCAAGTAATATTACATTTTAAAACCCATCCTGATGTAGGCTATATTACATAGTCATTGATGATGCGTAAACGTTTTCGAATGATCTGTTTAACCGATGTAAGAAAAATCATATTTGATAAATAGTACACTTTATAATTTTAGTGTAAGAATTGCAGAAATCTTTATGATTTGAGTTAAAAATACACCATTTACTGTGTATTTAATGTCCTTTAATTATAAATACAAAGTTTTTACATGGTTTATTTGCTTTATTTCTAATATATAACCTATTTTATTAGTTGTGGTTACCAAGCTATTCTGAAGCTGGCTGCATCCCTGGTTAAAGGGGTCATGAACTGACTGAGAAACCAACATTATTTGAACAATCCACGTATGCTTAGTGTCAGGGTGCAGCGATGCTCTCCATTGTACCATGTAACAACCAATCCGTGTTTCACAGAGCTCTGCCAATAATATTACAAATATGTCAGTAATTACTGAGTGTTACATTAGTAATACGTTAATGATGCCATTTTTCAACATCGGTTGTTTCTTTGACTTTTGAATCTCAGAAGCAAAAGTTTTAATAACTGTTCTTGTTTTTAGTAATTGCTAGTAATCGTTTTTCACTTTATCTCAGAAATAGGCACACATTCAGAGAGAGGAGAATTTGAATATTCTGATGGCCAATCAGACAGCAGTGCACTTGTCTTTCTGAAGACCACCCAAACTAGAAACTCTTGAAGAAGATGTCAAAAAACATGACGATACAATGCTTTTTTTCTTCAAAACAATATTAAATTTGATGTAAAAAGTATGCAATCCAAAGGTACATGGAGATACAG